CCTCCACATCACCCATCCAGGTTATTCCAGGTCAGATGCAATCAGAAAACTGGTCTGTGTGAAACCAGCTGGTTTTATATATTTCCGTGCCAAGCAGATGGAAATCACGGTCAGGTTCCTGTTGTCAGCCCTGGATCAAAACTGGAGCTGGTTATGGAAACTTGATCACTTTCTCATCCTCTCTAACTGGACCGGCCACGTGAGGACTCCGTTGTTTGAGCTGGTGGTGTGGAGTGTGGAGGTTTGTCTTCTGGAAAAGGTCTTTAGGCTCCCAGTAGTTTGCTGGGACTGGATTCCTGCGCAAGCTGGGGTAGTTTTGGGTTATTTGAGGGTTAAGCAAGAAATGACTTCAGGCTGTTACGGGGGTGTGTAGGTCTCTAGATCATCTCTAGGTTCGCACACGTGTACGTCTCACGCCGGCACCGTGCGCTGGCAGCCCAGAAAGCCAACCGTGTCCTGGGCTGCACCCAGAGCAGCGTGGGCAGCAGGTCAGGGAGGGGATTCTGCCCCTCTGCTCTGCTCTCCTGAGACCCCCCTGCAGTGCTGCCTTCAGCTCTGGGGTCCCCAACACAAGAAGGACATGGGGCTGTTGGAGTGGGGCCAGAGGAGGCCACGGAGATGATCCGAGGGCTGGAGCACCTCTGCTCTGGAGACAGGCTGGGAGAGTTGGGGCTGTTCAGCCTGGAGAAGAGAAGGCTCCGGGGAGACCTTCCAGCACCTTCCAGTGCCTAAAGGGGCTACAGGAAAGCTGGAGAGGGGCTTTGGATATGGGTGTGGAGTGACAAGACACGGGGCACTGGCTTTGAACTGGAAGAGGGGAGATTTCCACAAGATCTAAGGAAGAAATTCTTCCCTCTGAGGGTGGGGAGGCACTGGCACAGGTTGCCCAGAGAAGCTGTGGCTGCCCCATCCCTGGCAGTGTTCCAGGCCAGGTTGGATGGGGCTTTGGGCAACCTGGTGTAGTGGAGGGTGTCCCTGCCCATGGCAGGGGGGCTGGGATGGGATGATCTTGAAGGTTCCTTCCAACCCAAACCGTTCCATGGTTCCATGTTAGCTGCATTCCCTCCCCGATATCCCTTCCCTCTCAGAATCCCGTTCTCTGACGGGACTCAACACAAACTCAACCCCCTGCAGTTTTCCTTGGGTTAATTTGGAGGAAAGGGTGGAGCAGAGGTCAGGAGAGCTCAGTTCAAGTTTGCACGTGGCCTGAAGCCTTTGGAGAAGGTCCCTGATCTGTTTCCACACTGATTTTTGTGGGTCTGTGGTTAAGAAAGCCGCAGAGAGCACCTGGAATAGACGTACGAGCGTGGCAGGTGCTTCTGGTGGACGTTTCATCTTTGTGCAGTGCCTGGCTTAGGCTCTTCCCAAGGAGACTCCGATAACTCCGAAGGAAGGGGGATCACGACGATGAAGGATGTATCAGGACACAGATTTGAGCCGCGTCCGCTCTTCGATAGCAGCTCAGGTCTTGCTTGAGAAGTCTCATTCCCTCCTCAGGCTGTACTTCTCCCAGCAGAGCTCCATGCCCTTTCCACCACGGCCAGTAGGGGAGCCCAGTTCCACGCTCCCGTAGGCTCAGCTGTCTTGGAACGTCTCCTCGCTCACGTCTGAAGCTCCTTCTCACCCTTCCTCCAGCCCTGCGCCGTGCCGTCCCTCCCGGCCGGTTCCAGCCCTCGGCGTCCTTCCTGGGACGGCTGGGAGAAGCCTGGCTGTCACATCGGTGAGACAGGTGGCATCTCCTCGCGCCGGCTGCCCGTGGCCTTACCGGAGACGACACGAGGTGCCGGCGTTGGACCACGCAGGGTCGTAGCCCTGTCGTAAGAGGTTCTTTTCAGTCTTCTGCATCTGCCTGGAGCTTTCCTGGTACGTCCCAGCAAGGACGGCTTAACCACCTGCCCGAAGAGCAAAATGAAGCTTTCCACGTAGGATTTCCATGCTGAATTCCCTTTCTTGAGTTACAAAACGGTTTTAAAAAAGTTGTGCAGGGTCTGTGATGGATTATGACGTTCTGCCTTCAGGATTGAAGTGTCAAGAGAGGAGCGAGGATCTTCGGAAGCGTCTTTCGTGCAGGATTGCTTGGCCAGTCTGGGATCCTTCTCCATAGATTTCATAGATTTCTAGGTTGGAAAAGACATCAGAGATCATGTCCTGCCTGTCCACTTGTTCTTCCTTCCCCTCAGCCCGGCGAGCTCAGGGCTTCCTTCCGTGCTGGGTGTTGGTGAGGGCTGCAGTTCGGTGCTGTTGGACAGCAGAAGTGTTGGCCGGCGCTGGAACGACAGCGCGGTGATGCGTTGGGCTGTCCTGAGGTTGGCTTCTAGGGTAGGTCTGACCTTTGGGACTGATCTTCCCTTTGGCAGATCTCGTTTTGTGGTGAGGAATGTTGAGTTGGGGTTAGAGTGAGTGTGTAGGGATTTATCACGTTCGTGTCCATGCTTCACCAGTCTGAGACGGGACCCTGCGGAAAACTGATGGGCTGAGGATGAATGAAGACACTCAAAATGCTTCTGTCCCTTCTGTAACAGCAGCTCAAGCTGACTGAGAGGTTCTTGGCTCTGTCCCGACATCTCACCAAGGCCAGGACTCCTTGGCAACGGGGGTGTTGGAACCATCTGCCTACCTGAACGGGCGTCAGGCGGACTCCGAGCATCCTCTCAAAGCCCACGTGCTCTCGAGAGGGTGTTTGCAGAACCATCGTGTTCCCGATTACGAAACCAACGTGAAGACATGGTCACTCTAGGGAGAGGCAGAAGTCCTCTCTGCTGGTGGGGGCATCCGCAGGTGTCTTCTCATCAGTGATGCTTCCACGTACGCACCACACCGCTGCGCGGTTGGTCAAAGTGCCTCTTGGAGGGATCTCTGCTGACTGTCCCAGGCCCCCCATGTCTCGCGAAGCATCCTGGAGGAGTTCTTGATGCTAATCATAGAGACTCCAGGTGGCTTTCCAAAAGAGATTTATTATTTTGCTTGTGAAATTGAGTGTTGGAGTTGAGGTCCTAAGCAGTTCTTCCTTGTCCTGTTGCAGATGACCTGCGTGGAGAAAGCAGGTAACGATGAGAAGATGCTCATCAAAATCTTCCGGTGCTTGGGGAGCTGGTTCAACCTGGGTGTCCTGGACAGCACCTTCATGGCAAACAGCAAGTTACTGTCGCTCCTCTTCGAGGTGCTGGTGAGTATTTCTCGTGGGAAATGAGGTGGTGGTGGGCTGTGGGCACTCTTAAATCCCCGAGTGGCTGAGGATTGACGCTGCTTCGCCGTGTGCACGTACGGAAGGTGAGTTTCATCCCTCCTCTCTTGAGCAGGAACCCTCTGGTCTCTACCTGGAGCAGCTCCTGAGAGTGGGCTGTCCTTCTCCTCTAGCAGGCAGGGAATACCAAGCTCTCCATGCACAGCAGCAGCTCTGAGGAGCAGGAGTCTTCTTCTGGCTGTTCCCACACGTCTTCCCTGCCTCCTGTTAGCCCTGGGAGCTTCGAAGGTGGCACATAAGTGACACCTGATGGTGGCCCATCTCTCAAGGGTGAAACCAGGAGCGCACTTGAGGCTTTCCTCCGCCCGTGTGCTCCAGGGTTTGTGGCGTGGGGACAAGACCCATGGACGCAAAGTGTGGGCAGAGCTTTTGGAGGCCAACAGGAAAGCCCCCGTGTGGGGTTTTTGGCTGTTTGCGTGGAGGGAGGAGACTCGGCAGCTCCTTTGGGATTTTTCTTTCCTGCCCGTCTTCTGTTTTGACCCAGAGAACACGTGCTCAGAGGTGAGCACCCTTCCCTTCTCTGAGACGGACGGAAAAGGCTCCGGAATCTCTTCTGAGCAGGTGCTCTTTGGTTCTACGAACCTTCCTGCCACATTGGCACCAGCGATGGTGGCGTCTCCGCAAACGCGCGGCTACGCTCGCCAGCAGGCAGGGCATCGAGGAAGGAGTTGGAAGACTCTTTAATCTTCTATTTATATCTGTTCTCCTTATTCCCACTGTACTAATCGTCAATTCTGGAGCCTGTGTGACGCGGATAACCTGTCTAGCTCAAGCAGGAGCCCTTTTCCATTTTGCTGGGATGGCTGCAAAACACTCGGAGCAGAACAGATTCCTTCCAGTGCCTAAAGGGGCTACAGGAGAGCAGGAGAGGGGCTTGGGACAAGGGTGTGTAGTGACAGGACACGGGGCAATGGCTTTAAACTCGAAGAGGGGAGATTTCCATGAGATCTGAGGAAGAAATTCTTCCCTCTGAGGGTGGGGAGGCACTGGCACAGGTTGCCCAGAGAAGCTGTGGCTGCCCCATCCCTGGCAGTGTTCAAGGCCAGGTTGGATGGGGCTTTGGGCAACCTGGTGTAGTGAAGGGTGTCCCTGCCCATGGCAGGGGGGTTGGAACTGGATGATCTTTGAGGTCCCTTCCAACCCAAACCATCCTGGGATTCTGTGATTTAACATCTGAGAAGCAGCTGGTTTTAGCCGTAGCCACGAGCTGCCCGCTGCTGCCCGAGCAGGTGCCAGGTGTGCCTTTGAGCCTGCTTGGAGTTTGACAGAGCGAGAGTTTTGGTCTCCAACACACCGTGCTTGGTCCTTGCTCCGAGTCCGATTCTTTTACGGGGCTCTGAGCAAAATGCATCTGTCCCATGCGGTGTCGAAGTCAGCTCATCATCCTCGGGGGCTTAAGTGTTGATCAGTTTTGGCTTTAAAAGTTGCCTGTTGTCGAAGAAGCTGCGTTTGCTTCATACTAAAATCAGTATTTTTATTCTTTTCTGTCCGGATTTCCAGCAAAATAATGTTTTATTCCTTTTCTGACGTTTTCACCTTGGAAAATTAACTACTGAAGGTTTTTTTTGGAGGTTTTCTTGTGCTGTCTGAACATGGGAGAGCTGAAGAAACCAGTGAGACAGGGAGGGTGGGAGAATCCCGCGTCGCTCCACAGGGAGGACGGCAAACTGAACAGACAGGAGGAATTCCTGGAGAACAGAGGTCCTGCCTGTGTCCCAGCGCAGGAATCGTCGTTTGAACGAGATCCCTCGTTTGCATCCAATTAACGGCAAACGCAGATGAGGGTTCTTGTTGGGTGGGAGAAGGAACGGGCGATGTTCCTGCAGCTCCCGAGCGGTTCTGCCGCAGAAACCCGTCTCCTCCAGGACAGGGTGTTTGCCCCCCCACCGTTTTTATTCCCTTAACGTCACCTTTAAGTCGGGCGTTTTGCCTCCCGCTTTCACGCGGGACCACGGATTGTTTTCCAAACGTGCCGAGATCTCGTGTGAAAGGACTCACAGAGTTCCTGCTCCTTTGTCTCCTCTCCACGCGTGTTTGTGAGAAGCCTCATCTCCGTCCTCACCGAGGACTCCATCGTCCCTATGGGTCCCTTCCAACTGGAGGCTTTGCTGGGCTGCTGGGAGCGGATTGTTGGGAGCTGTGGCTATGCAGAAGCTCTACAAAATATTTCAGGAACGGCAGAAGACTATTTTTTCCGTGACCATCTCATATCATACGTACTCACCAGGCTCTTGTGCTTCTTGTTTCTTGCAGCAACAAGACAAGACGTCGTCAAACCTCCACGAAGCCGCTTCGGACTGCGTGTGCTCGGCCCTCTACGCCATCGAGAACGTGGAGACCAACCTTCCCTTGGCCTTGCAGCTTTTCCAAGGCGTCCTTACTCTTGAGAGTGCCTATCACATGGCCGTGGCACGCGAGGACCTGGACAAGTAAGTGAGCTGGCAGCCGTGGCTGTGCCCGGACAGGCAGGAGAGGTACAGTGATGAACTGTCGCAGGGTCCGAGCTCTTGCCAGGCTCGGCTTCCCGGGATGCTCCGTTGTCCTTACAGCGGGCAGAGCACCAGGGAAGTGTCCTGAGGTGCAGGTGATGTGTTGCCAACCTTCAAAGAAGTGTTTAGAAGTGACTTGTTGCTCCTGCTGCCTCCTTTCTGCAAGTCATAGAATCACAGAATGGTTTGGGTTGGAAGGGACCTCAAAGACCATCCAGTTCCAACCCCCCTGCCATGGGCAGGGACCCCTTCCACTACACCAGGTTGCCCAAAGCCCCATCCAACCTGGCCTTGAACACTTCCAGGGATGGGGCAGCCACAGCTTCTCTGGGCAGCCTGTGCCAGTGCCTCACCACCCTCAGAGGGAAGAATTTCTTCCTTAGATCCCATCGAAATCTCCCCTCTTCCAGTTTAAATGCATTTACCCTTGTCCTGTCACTACACCTCTTGTCCAAAGCCCCTCTCCAGCTTTCCTGTAGCCCCTTTAGGCACTGGAAGGTGCTGGAAGGTCTCCCCGGAGCCTTCTCTTCTCCAGGCTGAACAGCCCCAACTCTCCCAGCCTGTCTCCAGAGCAGAAGTGCTCCAGCCCTCGCATCATCTCCGTGGTCCTATGATCCGTACCTGGCTCGGCTGTTCCACATGGAAAGAGGGCTGGATGTGCCGGCTGGTCTGGTTGGAAACCCTCTGCTCTCCAGCCTCAGTTGATTCCGGGCCACTTCATGCCTGTTCTCTTTTGCCAACATTGTCTTAACTCAAATAACTCCATAACTTAACTTGCCCCCAGCTGGCACTCGTTCCTGGGTGCGTGTGGAGGTAGGAAGCAGCGTGCCCGTTCTCTTTTGCCAACATTGTCTTAACTCGAATAACTCCATAACTTAACTTGCCCACACTGGCCCTTGTTCCTGGGTGCGTGTGGAGGTAGGAAGCAGCAGCCTCAAGTTTGCCTAAACAAGGCAAATCCTTTCCATCCTGAGACGGCTTTTCTGTTCCTTGGGTGACCTGTGGTGCTCCCTTTTGGAATTTAGCCTCCTTGAGTGCGAGGGCCTGAGAGGCGGGTGCTGCTCCAGGAGGGCTCTCGCTCCTGTGCGTTGGCATCGTGGCATCCCTGTGTACCAGGGAGCATCTCGCTGGGCACCTCCTGCCTTTCTGGTCACCTCGCGGCATCAGCGTTCTGCTCATCCTGTGACCGGTGAGTCCATCCATGGATTGTCAGGAGCAGACAACTTCTTCCTGCTCCGATTCCGATGGTTTTTGTTCTTCTTCTGCACAGAGACTGCATCCCATCTTTATCAGCAAGCATTGGTCGTCCTCACTCTTCCTTTTTTATGTGGCTGTCACTAATCAACACGGACGAGATCAGTGTCTGGAACCTCCCCAGCACCAAACTGGTGTTTCCTCTTGAGGTCACCCCGCTAGCCAGCCGTTCGTCCCTTCCCTCAACTGTGCTGTATCCAGTTTAACCAGCTTCTGTGGACACTGGGATCTCCCACTCTGTTCCATTTCTCCCGTTTTAAAACGTTGCTGATAAGAATCGAGTGGGTCCAATCAAATTTTGGGTGAAACCCATTTCCCTCCAACACCCATGGGTTTGGAAGACGGTGTAGGAACTTGCTTGTGCCACTGAGGGCAGGTTAATTGGCCCATATTTGCCAGAGCCTCTGTCCCAGTTGCCAACCAGGAGCGCGTTCTGTGGCTGTGCACGGTGTTGCCATGGGTGGGAACCTCCAGACCAGCAGTGAAGCTGTAGGACAGATGTCCAGTGTCCTAATTTTGGCTGCTGACACGGCAGTTTCCCAGTCCCTGCTCCTTCCACCCAGGGGGAAGCAGATCCGTGTGTCTAATGAGCCTCCTCGCTCCTCCTGCCTCCCTCTGCCCCTCCTGCTCAGCCAGAGGATGGAAAACTGATGCGTGTTCATGGAATTTTGTGCTCCCCAAATCTCCCATCACGCCGGTGCCTTCGGCGTGCGGTGATCCCGCCGGCGGGTCGTTACGGACGAAGAACCCCGCGCTGTTTGGTGGGGTCTGGTCCTTGGTGGGGTCTGGCACTGGTTTGGCTTCTGGCCATTCTCCTTTGATCGCTGCTCGTTTCGCCGTCCAGTCTCCAGCCGCCTGCTTGTTGGGTCCCCCTCCCTGACAGCCCCGCGGCTGCTCCGAGGCACTTGGCTCACTGCTGGGGCTCTTCACGTCACTTAGGGTCAAGAACTCAGCAGGCATCTCCCCCACCACCCTCTTCCCCTCGTTTCAGAGTGGGTGCAAAGTCCAGATAACGTGGGTGCCTTTGACTTGGAGAATCATGGAATCACAGAACGGTTCAGGCTGGAAGGGACCTTAAAGATCATCCAGTTCCAACCCCCCTGAGGTTCTCACAGACCCTCCTCTCCAGCCTGTCCAGGTCCCTCTGGATGCCATCCCTTCCCTCCAGCGTGTCCACAACACCACACAGTTGGTGTCATCTGCAAACTTGCTGAGGGTGCACTCGATCCCACTGTCCATGTCACCAACAAAGATGTTAAATAGCACTGGTCCCAGTACTGACCCCTGAGGAGCACCACTCGTCACTGGCCTCCACTTGGCCATTGAACTGTTGAGCACAACTCTTTGAGTGCGACCATCCAGCCAACTCCTTACCCACCGAGTGGTCCATCCATCAAATCTGTGTCTCTCCAATTTAGAGACAAGAAATTCCAAGCCTCTGCCGCATGAAACGAGATTTCCACAAGCCAAATGAGTAGTTTCTCCTCCAAGTTAGCCCTTTGGAAACCGAAAATTATAAAACATCTGTTCCTGTTTATCCTGGTTTTTAATGGAGCGAGTCTTCCGACAGCTGTTGGGCAGGGACAAGTTTGCTGATGAGATTCCCTCTGCCATAGCATCTCTTCGTCCTGTGACCTTCCAAAAAACCCTGGAGCTTTCAGGGATCGCTGGGGCACGGTGTAATCTGTCTTTGAAGCCACACTTCAGGGTGTGTTTGCGGCACATCTCCAGCTCCATCCTGCTTTAGGATTCCCAAAACCTCTCCAGAACGGGAATACAAAAACCAAAGTGCCAGATTAATGACTGATCTTGGCCCTTTTCCCCCCAAATCCCTGATCTGAGGTCGTTTTAGTGGTGAGGAGCTTGGTTTGGTGCTTGCTCCGTCGCTCCGGGATGTTCGCTCTTCCCTCCGGGTCTTGAAGCTGCTCAGCTGCTGAATCGGGATATTTTCAAACTTTGCACCTTGGTCTTCTGAAACGTGGCACCTGCCGGGTGCCGAGCGAGGCCGGAGCTGTGCCACAGCCGATGCCCTGCGCCTCCCAGAAAACCAAAGCAGAAGTTGGTACTTCCCGGTTGGAGACGAGGCTCCGGGACACGTTCACCCGCGCTGGACCGACCCTCTCCTGCGTTGGGATCGCTGATCCCGCGTGGAAGAGCTTTCCGACTTGTGCCTGGTTTTTTTCCCTTCGCCAGGGTGCTCAATTACTGCCGCGTTTTCACCGAGCTGTGCGAGACCTTCCTGGATAAGATCGTCTGCACGCCGGGCCAAGGGCTCGGGGACCTGCGGACGCTGGAGCTGCTGCTGATCTGCGCGGGGCACCCGCAGTACGAGGTGGGTGAGGGCTACCCGGGCACCTCTGCCCGCTCCCGTTGTTTTTCTCTCCGCGTGTTCCACGCAAGCTTCGTGGGGATCATGGTGTAGGTAGTGGAACGCCGTTTGGCACCAAAACTCTCCGACCCTCCGTTAGATACGGAACGATGTATTTAGGGTGTGGTCTCCTTTTAACCCCCCCGTTTCATTCTTCCAGTAAATCCCAGCAGCTGATCCCTGGTTGACTTGTGCCCGTGTTCCACGGGCAGAGGTTCCTTTCCGGAGGGATCATCCTGCTAAATGTGGGATGTGGAGCAGGGAGGTGCCAGCTGGGATTTGCTGTTTGCTCCGTGTCTGAGGGATGCAGCTGCTGGGGCGGTGGGTCTGGAAGGAGCCGGTGCCCTCTCCGGGACTGGGTTTTCCAGAAGCTTTCGGAGAGACACGTGCCAGGTCGGCTAAGGAGCGGCGGCTGCTGCGCGGTGACCCCGTGCGGTGTTTGCCGCGGAAGTGGCGGAGTCGCTGTGCTTCCTCCAGCCCCTGCGGCGCTCGCCGGGGAACGGGGCCTCTTGCGGTCCCGATCCAGGTCTGGTGAGCTCCATCTCCCTGGGGCACCACCTCGGCCTGTGCCAGCCATGCTTAGGGGGACTTAGAACCAACCTGACCTAGAACCGGCTTGACTTAGAACCAATTTGACTCAAAGCCGACTTAAAACCGACCTAGAACGAGCTTGACTTAAAACCAACTTGGCTTAGAACCAGCTTGACCTAGAACCTACTTAAAACTGACCTAGAACGGCTTGACTTAAAGCCATCTTAAAACTGACCTAGAACCGACTTGACCTAGAACTGACTTAACTTAAAACCGACTTAAAACTGACTTAGAACCGGCTCGACTTAGAACAGACTTAAGACCGACCTAGAACCGTCTTGACCTAGAACCGACTTAAAGCTGACCTAGAACTGACTTGACCTAGAACCGACTTGACTTAGAACTGACTTAAGACTGACTTAGAACCAGCTTGACTTAGAAGCGACTTGACCTAGAACTGACTTAGAATCGGTTTGACCTAGAACTGACTTAGAACTGACTTAAAACCGACCTAGAACCAGCTTGACTTAAAACTGACTTGACTTAGAACCGGCTTGACCTAGAACCGACTTAAAACTGACTTAGAACCGGCTTGACTTAGAAGCAACTTGACCTAGAACTGATTTAGAATCGGTTTGACCTAGAACCGACTTAGAACCGACTTAAAACCGACCTAGAACTTAGAACACTTAAAACTGACTTGACTTAGAACCGGCTTGACCTAGAACCGACTTAAAACTGACTTAGAACCGGCTTGACCTAGAACCGACTTAGAACCGACTTAAAACCGACCTAGAACCAGCTTGACCTAGAATCGGCTTGACTTGAAATCGACTTAAAACTGACTTAGAACCGGCTTGACTTAGAAGCAACTTGACCTAGAACTGATTTAGAATCGGTTTGACCTAGAACCGACTTAGAACCGACTTAAAACCGACCTAGAACTGGTTTGACTTAAAACCGACTTGACTTAGAACCAGCTTGACCTAGAACCGACTTAAAACTGACTTAGAAGTGACTTGACATAGAACCAACCTAGGACCGGCTTGACCTAGAACTGACTTGACTTAAAACCGACTTAAAACTGACTTAGAAGTGACTTGACCTAGAGCCGGCTTGACCTAGAATCGACCTAGAATCGGTTTGACCTAGAACCAACTTAAAACCGACCTAGAACCGACTTGACCTAGAACTGGCTTGACTTTAAAACCGACTTAAAACTGACTTAGAACCGGCTTGACTTAGAAGTGACTTGACTTAGAACCGACCTAGAACCAGCTTGACCTAGAATCGGCTTGACTTGAAACCGACTTAAAACTGACTTAGAACCGGCTTGACTTAGAAGCAACTTGACCTAGAACTGATATAGAATCGGTTTGACCTAGAACCGACTTAGAACCGACTTAAAACCAACCTAGAACTGGTTTGACTTAAAACCGACTTGACTTAGAACCAGCTTGACCTAGAACCGACTTAAAACTGACTTAGAAGTGACTTAGAAGCGACTTGACATAGAACCAACCTAGAACCAGCTTGACCTAGAACTGACTTGACTTAAAACTGACTTAAAACTGACTTAGAAGCAACTTGACTTAGAAGCGACTTGACCTAGAGCTGGATTGACCTAGAATTGACCTAGAATCGGTTTGACCTAGAACTGACTTAAAACCGACCTAGAACCAACTTGACCTAGAACGGGCTTGACTTTAAAACCGACTTAAAACTGACCTAGAACTGGCTTGACTTAGAAGCGACTTGACTTAGAAGCAACCTAGAACCAGCTTGACCTAGAACTGACTTATAATTGGTTTGACCTAGAAGCGACTTAAAACCGACCTAGAACCGGCTTGACTTAGAACCGACTTAAAGCTGACCTAGAACCGACTTGACTTAAAACTGACTTGACTTAAAACTGACCTGGAAGCGACTTGACCTGGAACTGACTTGACTTAGAACCGACTTAAAACTGACTTAGAAGCAGCTTGACCTAGAACCAACCTAGAACCGGCTTGGCTTAGGACCGACTCGACTGACTTAGAACCGACTTAGCAGCCAACGCCCCGTAGATTTTTGGGGCAGGTTGGGCGTGAAACCTCTGCCGCCGCGTGAGCCGGGAGGCAGGTCGGGATCAGGGAGGCGGGAGCTCCGGGGTCGGCCGATCTCCGCTGGCGCGACGCCGAGGTGCCGGCCACGCTTCGAAGCGAGCGGCGCTCCGCGTGCGTCCGCCTGGGTCCTGCCGCGGGGCGCTTGGACCTCGGAGCGCGGGCGACGGGTTTTCACGTCAACCCAGCGGGTTTCACACCCTTCTTGCAGCACAGGAGATGGGTGGAGCCGGGGGGACCGGTCCATGTTCCGTCACTGCGTGGTGGAACGGCACCTGTAGAAATCCGTGGTAGCCCACGACACCGCAGGAACCCCCGGAGATGATTTCTCTGTTGGGGTCACCAGCAGAGCGTGGAAAACCAAACAAAAAAAGCTCTGTTGCCGACAAGACGCTGGATTTTTCTTTCTAAACAGGTGGTGGAGATTTCCTTTAACTTCTGGTACAGACTGGGGGAGCACCTGTACAAGACGGACGACGCGGTCATCCACAGCATCTTCAAAGCCTACATCCAGCGCCTTCTCCACGCCCTGGCCAGGCACTGCCAGCTCGACTCCGACCACGTAAGGCTGAGTTGGCTTTGTTCCTTCTGGAATCATAGAATCCTAGAATGGTCAGGGCTGGAAGGGACCTTCAAAGGGCATCTAGTCCAACCCCCCTGCAAGGAACAGGGACATCTCCAACTAGATCAGGTTGCTCAGGGCCTCGTCCAACCTGGCCTTGGAAGCAGCGGGGCGGTGGGATGTGGGGAGAGGAGGGCAGGAGCGATGGATCTCTTCTCTAAAACGGAATTCCTCGTCTTCTCCCAGCTGTGGGTGGACGGGAACCTGGATTTCTCCGAGCTGCTCTCACCCTTTTGCTCTCCCTCGTCTCTCTTTAGGAGGGTGTCCCAGAGGAGACGGATGACTTCGGGGAGTTCCGGATGCGGGTCTCGGACCTGGTGAAAGACCTGATCTTCCTGGTGGGATCGGTGGAGTGTTTCGCTCAGGTGGGATCGCGGGACAATCGGGAAGTGCGCTTGCGTCCGTGGCCTTCGGGATGAGGAGGAGGTCACTCGTGTTGTCCCCTCGTGCACAAGGAAGCAACCATGTCTCAAAGGAGGTGGTGGGGACTGTCCTGGGAGAAGCAGGAGATCTCACACTGGGTCTCACGCTGGGTGCTCTGGTTCCAAAACAGCAGGGTGGTCTGTGAGACGTGGGGGTTCCTGCAGGTCCACGCCAGGAGTTTGGTATTTTGGGTGTTGGAGGTGGTGAGGAGCAGGGGCCGATCTCGCAGGGTGGGATTCCTGACCACGTGCCCACCAGCTGTGTGCTTCTTCTGGGACCAGCTCTCTTCTCTTGCAGCTTTATGCAACGTTGAAGGACGGGAACCCGCCCTGGGAGGTGACGGAAGCCGTCCTCTTCATCATGGCCTCCATAGCAAAGAGCGTTGACCAGTGAGTGTCGGACCATCCTGCTCCTGTCCGTAGCGGGTTGTGGGGTCAGGAGTTGCCACCACGTGAATTTTGCAGAGACACTGCGAGTATCCCAAAGATATTTTGCCCAGAGAGGTGGTGGATGCTCCATCCCTGGAGACGTTCAAGGCCAGGTTGGATGAGGCCCTGAGCAACCTGATCTAGTTGGAGATGTCCCTGTTCCTTGCAGGGGGGTTGGACTAGATGACCTTTGAAGGTCCCTTCCAGCCCTGACCATTCTATGATTCTATGATATTCCCAAGAACGTGCTTTCCCAGGCAGAAACTACCGACGTTCCCAGGTAGCCCTCGGCGTACGTGGTCTGTACCGCGGCAACGCAGTACCCAGGTTGGATGAGGCCCTGAGCAACCTGATCTAGTTGGAGATGTCCCTGTTCCTTGCAGGGGGGTTGGACTAGATGACCTTTGAAGGTCCCTTCCAGCCCTGACCATTCTATGATACCCCGTGCTGGTGGAGCAGTTCCGTAGCCCAAGGATGGAGCTCTCCACTTCCTGGCCAGGAATACAGGTCCAGGACGGAGCAGGGACTGCCTGAAGCAGTTGGACCTTCTCAGGTCTCCTCTCTGCCTGTCTGGAGACGTCAACATCACCCGCTTGAGTTGAGCCCTGGTGAAATAGGATAAGGATTATTTGTTTTCCCTCGGTTTGTCTCTGGAAGACGGTGTGTCCCACGAGGTTCTTGCTCGCCCTGTGGCTGCTCCGAGCTTGGCTTGGCTCGGCTTTTCCCACGAGAGGGCAGGTGGTGCCGGGCAGCCGGAGCCCTGGCACCGACGTGGGCTGCGGGGAAGCCGGGACTCGCCCGGTGGCACCCTCCCACCCTGGGAACAGGCTCCTCCGGCTTTCTCCGGCCCCCGCCGGATGCATTAGCTTTGTTCTTGGGCCACGAGCGCTCGTCCCGGAGGGGTTTTGTCTCCTCCGCTCCGTTCGGGA